GCCCTGTGGTCTGCCTTCTGCCCATTGCTCTATGAACATTGATGGTCTTTCATGGTCAGATCCAGAATCTCCCCTTACACTCCACACCCTTAAGTCCATCTTCCTTCTTTGCACCTGGGCCGTATCTTTTTCTGGTTTCTCCTGCAACCTCCCCGACCACTATTTCTTTACCTCTTGCCAGATATCGCTACAGCTAGGTCAGCTTGGAGAAGAATCTGAATACAGAAGCAGGAAGCAGCCCAGGGCAGAAGAGGACCGACCAGTGTCCTGAGTGTGTAGACTGTAGCTTGACTGGGGTGTAGGTGGAACCAGACATGATCTCAAATGCAAAGACCGGTAGCCAAAAGACATCGTGAAGGCTGTTTTGCAAACTGCCTGCTGTAACGAGAGCCAAAGTGTGTGCGTGCTACAGTCGTTCCCCTGGATTTCATTCCTGGCCCTGCCAGTTGTGAGCTGACTATAGGTTAAGAAAGACAACCTCCCTCAGTTTCACTGATACAAAATGGGTATAATAATACTATTTAGCTTGGAGGGTTGTGTGAAGGTTAAATGAACTAACCGAGGTACTCAATAAAAGTTACCTCATATTATAATTTATTCGTACACTTACCAAATAAACACTGAATGCCAACTATGTGTCAGGCGTATGCGGGATGCTGGGGATATAATGTAGAACTACAGACACCATACCCACCCTCACGTAGCTTTCAGCGTAGCAGGGGAGATAGCTGTTAGTAACCCTCGCGCCTTTATTTACTTAAAGATTTTATTCAATTACTTTAGAGAGAGCGTGCGCGAGAGCACATGCACACATGGGGGGAAGGGGAGAGGGAGAGAATCCCAAGCAGATTCCGTGCTCAGCGCGATGTCTGACGCGGGGCTTGAACCCACAACCCTGAGATCATAACCGGAGCCAAAACCAAGAGTTGGATGTTTCACTGAGCCACTCGGGCGCCCCAATGCCTCTGTTTACTTAGATCAAGGGTACAGATAAGGCAGTGGTTAAGAGTTGAAGTTGGAGGGGCGCCTGGGTGGCTCAGTCATTAAGTGTCTGCCTTCGGCTCAGGTCATGATCCCAGGGTCCTGGGATCGAGCCCCGCATTGGGCTCCCTGCTCCGCGGGAAGCCTGCTTCTCCCTCTCCCACTCCCCCAGCTTGTGTTCTCTCTCTCGCTGTATCTCTCTCTGCCAAACAAATAAATAAAATCTTTAAAAAAAAAAAAGAGAGAGTTGAAGTTGGAAAGACAGGATTCGTGAGATCTGAAGAATCCTGTGTCAGCTCAAAGACAGCACCTAACTCAACTGGTCACCAAGTGACCAAAGTTTCCAGCAGGGAAGTAACACGAAGCTGCTGCTTTTGACGGGTGGCCTTGGGGCTGCAAGGGCAATACAGGGAGAAGCAACACCAGTCACCTGCTAGTTCTGCAACAGTCCTGGTGAGAATGACAAAGATCTGAACTAGTACTTTGGCCACGGAGGATGGACAGAAGAGTACTAAGGGATAGAATCATCATTACAATTCCCCAGGTTCTCCACTGGTTTCCTCTTCACCGAGAGTTCCCCCAAGTTCCAGAAGCTTCAGAGGTCAGCAGAACTCATAATAACTCTTCCCTCAACCGCAGCGGACAGGCTCTTCCTCTTTCTGGGCCCCAGCTTTCCGTTGGCTTTCCTTCTGCCCTTGTCAGCGCTTTTGTGACCCTGAGCTGCCCCCTGGTGGACACTGGGAGTTCTCAGCAACATAGAACCTTTTCTAGGGTTCGCTCAACTCCTGGGACCCACCACTTGTCTGTCTAATTGAACCAGGGGGACACTTTACTTTGCACACACAGGAACTCTGTGCCTGGGTATAGGAAGATTAGGAAACATTAGATAAATCGGGTTAATATGTTAAGTACGATCACTCGAGTGGGATTAAGAAAGCACTCAGAGGCACCCGGTGTCTCTTGAAGGCAAACTGTCTGCTTTCCCCCTTCCTCCTTTCAGTGGACTCTCTGAAAAGATTTTTGAGGAGCCCAAGCAGAGGGGGCTTATTTGGTGTCCTCTGGGAATGTGGGCCCAGCATCACCAGTGTTGTCAAAGCTTTTAACTTTTTAAGAGACGCTGGAAAGCCCGACGACGACATGAACTATTCCGGTATTTTTAATGTTGTAATTTAAAATGTTCAGACAAGAAAAATTAAATCTATAGCCACCCGTTTTCAATTCACAATTGTGTAATTATGTAGTTCTGTGTGGTGGACTATCAGTTCCCAAATGCTAGACCTACAAATGATTAGCAGTAATTAGTGGCAAATTTTCCCTGATTTACAGTGAAATTAAAAAAGAAAGACAGTGAAATAGGTTTTTCCATACAGCTAAATCCATCTAATATAAAGGATGACTTTTTTCTCTCCTGTGATTGTATCCTTATATATTTTGTTAAAATCGTTTTGTTTTGCACGTACATTTATGTTAAAGTATCTTTTATTTTACAAAATGTTGATTTCGCTTCTCATGTATTCAGTTGGCAAAATTAAGAGTTGGTGACTTAACATTGCCTGTTGTATTTAGCTCCATTTTATTTGTTATTTAAATTTAAATGACAGGGCATCCCTACTAAGATAAGGGTGACTCGATGAAAGTTTTTGAGCAGTATTTGTGCATAAAAAGGACTACCCCTCTGGGGCACCTGGGTGGCTCAGTTGGTCAAGTGTCCGACTCTTGATTTGGGCTCAGGTCATGATCTCAGGGTCATGGGATTGAGCCCCGCACGGAGCTCTGTGCTCAGCATGGAGTCTACTTGAGGTTCTCTGCCTCTCCCTTCCCCTTTGCCTCTCTCCCTGCTCACACTCTTTCTCTAAAATAAATAAAATCTTAAAAAAAAAAAAAGAAAGGACTATGTCTTGATCTTATAGTTGATGTGGAAGATGCATTGGTTGGGGAGACACTTGAGGTCCAGGGTGTGACAGTCATCGGGTGTGACAACGTAAAACAATTTTTACTTTTTTCCTTTGTTTTGTGACTAAGGACACGGAGACACACGAGAGGAAGAGACTTGTCCAAGGTCACCAGGGAATTAGTAGCAGAACCACGACGACAGGCCAGTTTGCTGATAGCAGATACACGTCCTTTCAACTGCTCTGTTCACTTCTGTGTCAGCCAGACAGAAAGCCCGGGGACGGGGCTGAGCCCAACAAGGTCTAGTCAGGGGACGACTTCAGGGTAGTAGGAAAGTGATCTGTGTAATTACGCATTTCTACTCCATTTCGGACCCCTGTATCGTGCTCATTTCCTGTTGGGGTACAGAAGCTCACCTCTTATCTGCTACTGAGCTGACTTTCCGTTAGGATGTTTCTTTCCTGAGTTGGGCCTTGGGCTTAAAAGCACCTTTCCGAAGCTCACTGATTGTGGTATTTGGCAATGTTAGAACATGAATTGATTAGCAAATGTACCACTCAGCTTTGTCACTCAGGTCTGCCTCGGCTGGTGCTTATTAACCCAAATCTGTGCTTCTTTAACTTTGTATTCCCATTGGTGAGTGTGTGTGTGTGTGTGTGTGTGTGTGTGTGTGTGTGTACGCACTATATTCCCAACTGGTAAATATATTTCACGGGGTGAAGAGTAGTGTCTATTATCTTCCTCCCTGTCCCCTGGCAACTGTGGCTGGTGCCCAGAAGAGGTCTGACTTTGTTACCAAATCAAAGAATGACCGAATAAGCAGGAACAATAATTTTCCATAAATTGAGCCCCATCTCTGTGCCTGCTATTATTCTAAGTCCTTTTTTTCTTTTAAGTTTCTAATTAAAGTCAGTGTGAGAACATTCAGAATCTCCCTACCATATGCCAAGGCTGTCTTAGTACTGGGGATATGACTCGAATCGATTCCAGTGATGAGTGGAACGACGCACAGGACTCTGGCCACCTGAACTTGGACGCCTCCCCTCACTTGTGCAGCCCCTCCCCGTGCCTGCGACACGCGGATTATAAACCATTAAGAAAAGGATGAGAGTTATCTAGTTGCAGCCAAGCAGTGCCGGCATCAGGGAAGGCTTGATAAAGTAAAAATTCAGTGATGGCACGAAGGACAGACGGGTCAGCAGGCATCCAGCTGGGCAGAGAGGGGAAAAAAGGGTTTGTGCAGAGGGACCAGTGAGGGCAGGGGCTCAGATGGAAGGAACAGAACATGAGGTATTGAAAACAGAAGAGAGGTCCAGAAGGAGGGGCAGAGTGGACATAGGGAGGTCGGCTTCGGTCTTGCTGGTAAGCTGCCATTGTGCTTTGCAAAGCTCCTTTGAATACTTTCGAAATAAAAAGGATCAAATCCAATTAATTAAGTCATTTGTTACTTATATGTTATTTGTCTAAAATAGGTCTTTTCCACTGCACCGGGTTCCTTGAGTACAGGGGGCCATACATCATTGTCTCATCACCTAGGGCGACCCTAAATCCCTCCCATATGCCTATTTTGTCTTCAGTGCAATCCTGCCTTTCTATCCACCCGCCCGCCAGACAGTTTCCTCCCTGACCTGAGTCCGCAATATTGTTTCCATGTTTTCCCTCATTCGGTGGACACGTCTGTGTGCCAGGCAATCTAGGAAATCCCAAGAGCTTCCCCATGGATTTTAGGCTTGGATTAAGCCTAGGCATGATGGAGACCAAAGATCTCACCTACAAAGCAATCTATTGCAATCTGGAAACACTTGAGCTTTAAGTGACAGGGTGAGGATTTTTCTCTTATGGGGGGGGTTCCATTATACCTATATTGCAAAATCTGCTTTTGTGTTTCCCGTCTCAGCCTGTCTGCCAGGCAGCCTACCAGAACGACTTGGGTCAAGTGTGGCAGTGGGTGAGAGAAGACAGAGCCTATATCAACGTTCGAGATGGCTTGAATGGAGACACTCCCCTGATCTGTGCTTGTAGGCGAGGACACCTGAGAATCGTTTCCTTCCTTTTAAAAAGAAATGCTGATGTGAACCTCAAAAACCGGGTGAGGCCATGACACATGAGTGGGGAGGGTCACTGACCATGTTAACCCTTTCTCTTCACAGCAATGAAGTAGTGAATGCCATTCTCTTGTTGCGCTTAGCTCCTGATACCAACTTTTTTTTTTTTTTTGCCTTACTTTAGAGGGACAGACAAATACTATTCTATTAGGCTAAAAAGCGAAATAAATCACAGTTCAGTCAGCAGGCATATTTTGTCGTAAATTATGTCCTCGTACTTCTGACGGGAGAGGTCATTGTTCACTCATTTGACTAGTGAGAGCTTCTTCCTTTCTTTTCCTCCTCCTTCCCATGCTGTTCCCTGCCTTCCTGCTTCCCTCTTCAGCTGCTCCTCCTCACTATCACAGAAATAATGTGAAAGATTTCCTGGAAAAACATCTTGACCTGCTGGTGTTATGTCATTAGGTTTTTGCCTACTGGGTCAATGTTCTCCAGAAGATCCTACAGTTTGCTTTTGGATTGAAGAATGCTAGTATGACATTTAAGGACAAACAAGCTCATGAACCAGAGGCTCCTTGAAGCCACACAGAAAGGCATAAAGATTGTACTTAAGATGCAGTGTTAGCTGATGGGATCTTCAGAATCAAGGAAGAGCAGAATACGTGTGTATTGCCGTGAGCATCCTTTCAGAACACCTTCCAACATCCAATGCCTGAATGTGTCTGCATCATAGCAACAAGCAACATTTTTTAAAGTACACTGAGCAAATATAAAAAGCCATTACTTGTAATAATTATGTGTGCCCTGTTCCCACTCACATATATTCAGTGAAGAAAAGCAGCCTATAGGCCCCCCCTTGAACCCCTTCTGGTTCAAGACCAGCTCATTTGGAGCAATAATATATGATCAGAAAATGGATTGCTCCTGGACCTTCTTCTTTTTAGTTACTGTTTTTTGTGTTTTTGTGTTTTTTTTTTTTTTGCTTGGTTGGGTTTAAAAACAAGTCAGGCCTGCACTGAATCTCACAGATACAGCTTAGTGGAGTATGACATACTTTCCCTAGCTCACAGCTGAGGAACCAGGTGTGTGTGCTTGTGGTGAGCGGGAGTGACTAAGACAGATGTCTGTGGGTTCATGACCTCTGTCGGGAGACATGCTTAGTCGGAAGCTGCGGGCCAGAGATGTTGGTCAACGCAGGGATGGGCCCGAGAGGGGACAGAATCTGAGCCAGCCTGCTGGGATCCTCTGGTAATCAGGAACATCTTGGGAAGGACTTGAGGGATATGTTAGAAAAATGAGATTTTTATCACAAGAAGGGTTGGGTTTACATTTTGTTTTTAAAATATTTTTAATGGTTTTTAAATGTTTAATCTTCTTAATTTCCCCCCAGTGCTGATCTTGGCACATTAATAATTTAACCAGGGCCTTCTCATTTCTTAAATCTATGTTTAGGACTTATTTTCAGAAGTACTAAATAAACAAAGGCCTTAAAATAAAACACACTGTTCTGCTGGCGCTTCATACGCACACGCCTAATAGAGAACATCAATTCTATGGAAAGCAAATTAAATTAAAACATAAATACACCTTTTTTTTTTTTTTTTGGCTTGTCAAATTGACCAGGATTAAAAAAGGAAACCGAGTGTTGATCATGAAGGAAGTTTAAATCATTACGATTTTACCAGAGCACAATTTAACAATACAACATGAAAAGCATTCATACCTTTCACATCAGCAATTTTACTTTTAGAAACTTTTGCTAAGGACAAATTTGGAAATGTTGACAAAGCTTTATGAATGCAAATGTCCAAGCAGTATAATTTATAAAAATAAAAAGTTAAAACCTTGAAAAGTCCAACAGATAGGGTTTGGTTAAATAAATTAGAATAGCTCCATTCAATAGGAAGCCATGCATCTATTATAAAGCTGTTTAAAATTTTAAATGGCATGGAAAATGCACTAATTCTAAATGTGAGTTGAAAAAAAGCAGATATGATTTTGCATATGCAGTATGATCCCACATTATAAAATTCTACATAATGCATTTTATTTTATTTTAATATTTTATTTATTTATTTGACAGAGAGAGAGAGAGAAAGTGCAAGCAGGGGGAGCAGCAGAGGGATAGGGAGAAGCAAGCTCCCTGCTGAGTGGGGAGCCCAATGCGGGGCTCGATCCCAGGACCCTGGGATCATGACCTGAGCCAGAGGCAGACACTTAACCGACTGAGCCACCCAGGCGCCCCCACATAATGCATTTTAAAAGACTAGAAAACAATACAGCCAAAATGTCAACAATTATTTCTAGGCTATGATAATGGGTGATTTTAAATTCTGTCATTATATCCTTGTTTAGTTTACAAAATTTTTACAGAGAGCATATATACCTTGATATTAAAAAAACAAAAAGTATTCTTATTTAAGAACTTCTTCTCCCAAGTGGAAATTAACCTCTCTTTTCTCTCTGGCTTTCTCTCTCTTCCCATCGATTTGGTTGGTATTCCAATCATCATGGCCTGTTTTGCATTATACTTATTGTGCTTGTTTCTGTCTACCTTTGTTTGATTATGAGGCCATGAGGCTTTACATCCCCCCACAGCCCCTAGAAGCTGAAGTCTGTCACCTGGTAAATGGTCACATTATTTGAAGAATTAAATTGACTTATTTCCATTCTTCCAGCACTGTGTGTATGCATGTAGGAACAGGGAAAATATGCCACATGGTTAAGATTTTCCCAGAAACAAACCACAAAATGAATAATCATATACCAGAGATGAGTCAGGGATAACAATAGCTTTTCACACTGAATTCAGTCCTGTGTTTCTATCTCAATGTATTTTTTCCCCAAAAAACTAACATGCGTGTGAGAATCCAACTTATTTTTAAAAAAATATTAATGTATAGATTTTGGAGAGAGACTGTGCGTGGGAGGGGGAGGGGCAGAAGGGGAGAGAGAGAGAGAGAGAGAGAGAGAGAGAACCTCAAGCAGACTTCCTGCGGAGCCCACGTGGGGCTCAATCCCACAACCCTGAGATCATGACCTGAGCCGAAACCGAGTTGGTTGCTAACTGACTGAGCCACTCAGGCGCCCTGAGAATCTTTAGATTATACTGTGTTTGACATTCCCATCAAATGGAGAAGTGGCCTTATTAATCAGACACACTCCACAGAAAGAGTTGCCATGGGTACCATAAAAATAAAAAGCACAAAGTAACCTTTTTTTTTTTAAATAATGTAGTTTTTTTTTTTTTTTTTAAAGTAAGCTCTACTGCCCAACATGGGGCTTGAACTCACAACCCTGAGATCAAAAGTCTACCAACTGAAACAGCCAGGCGCCCCACAAACGAAACTTTTTGATATGGTGATCTGAAAATATGAAATTTGAAATAAATATTAATAAAGAATTTCTTTATTTTCTCTATTTTGTTTTCTTAATTTTCAGAAAGACAGAAACTGCTTGCATTACGCTGTGAAGAAAAAATTTACCTTCTTTGATTACCTACTCATTATCCTCCTAATGCCCGTTCTGCTTATTGGGTATTTCCTCATGGTGAGTAACACCAGTGTGATCAAAGGGTAATCGGGGAGGAGATCACCAGCATGACTCATCAAGTTTTGCTGGGCCAGTCAGATTTAGAGAAACAGTAACAAAATAAACCCCTGGTTCTTAGTCTGTGACTAACATAACAACAACAAAAAAAGAATAAGAAAAAGAAATAAAGTAACTATTTCTAAAAAAAAAAAAGACATTTCCAACATCCATTTAATGCTGGGACTGCAGGAAAGTGGGAAGAAAGCTAGCCAACTAGATTAATCCGTGGTAAAATCATCTGTGCCATGTTTATTTAGAAAAATAAGTTAATCTTGATTAAGAATCATCCAAAGAAAGCAGAAAATCCCGAATATTAAAAAAAAAAAATTCCCTTGCCATGTCTTTTCTCCTTTTTGGTCAAAAGAGCTTGTGTCTTTGTACACATCTTTTGAGTTTCTGATTTTTCTGGACCTGCCCTTGTTGCGTGTTAAAAAAACAGATCCCAAGAGATTTGCAGCCAGAAGTTGAGAAACACGGAACATCTTTATAGAGAATTTAAAGCCAACCTTTTACCTTGACAGAGTTGAATAACAAAAGATATAGTTGGTGTAGGAATGCATTCATTTTATGAGAAGATGAAGCTTGAGTTGGTTATTTTTGTTTTTTCAAATTGAGCGATAGCTTTGCACTGACTTATTCCCTTTTCCCCCACCTTGTTCCCTGGAGTCCGGTTCCATCGTTGAGAGATGACTCAGCAGATGTGTCCTTAATCCAATTAAACGACCCATCTCCTTTCTCTCTGTAGCTAAATAGACCGTGCACGTTAGTTACTTTTGCTACCAGAGGCTTCAGAACAGAGTCTGCCAGATGGACGTGTAATTACCTCCTTGGGCATTTAAATGTCACAGAATTTGTGGAACTCTAATTAAATATGACGGTGCCGATTTTGATGCTTGGATTTTTGGGAAAAAGAAAACACAAGTCACTGATAAACACATAATCTGCTTCTATCCTGGAAAAGTTCTTGAAAATTAATTGCGTATTTGGTACAGAGCTTTGGTATATTTGTAGTTTCGGGGTGGGCGAGGGACCTACCATTCATTTCCAAAACGATCACAAGGGTGATGAGCAAGACTCGTTCAGAATTTGTTGACACACAACCTTGCTTTCTAAGACTGTTGGAGGTTTAAAAGCTGGAGGCTTTGGCCAAAATACTGATGGTAATGAATAACCGCCTCTGATTGCGCAATTTATCCTACTTATTCATGGGGCCGGAAACTGCACATTTGTGACGCACAAGGTGTAAGAGAACATTTTAGAGGAAGGGACCAGAAAGGACTGTGTTACTTCAGAAAAAGGTAGGAGGAGACAGGCAGTTTCCACGTTGACGCGGGAGGGAATTACAAAGAAAGAAAGAAAGTGGGTGGGGCTTCCTGCAAGGCGAAAGGGATGACCTTCAGGACTTGCCCACCTGTTCCCCTCGAGAGCTGTGCTCCCTAAAGCAATGGGATGTAGGGTGGATGCTCAAACCGTCCTGTGGTCAGAATCTCAGGGGACTGGGCTGGAAACGTGGATGTCTGAGGAGTCTTGTTCATTTCGTTCCTTCGTTGGCTCATTCAGCACATACTGTGGACCCACTCCGCGCACACACTGCTGGGTGGGAGGGATGCAATGCGGAAGCAAACAGGTGTAGTCCCTGTCCTCGAGAGTGTTAGAGAGTAGTGCAGAATGGGTCATTAATGAAATAACCACAGAAATGAATGTAAAATTACTACGAAGTAGGTGATACAGGGAGGTGATCTCCCAGAAGAGAGAGATTTCACCCAGCCGGGTAGGTCAGGGAAAGCCTCCTGGAGGAAGAGGGTCTTGGGCTGGGATATTAAAGATGGATTTACCAGGCAAAGAAGGGAGGTCTAACGTGGGGCCCCCGAATTTATATTTCCAATTTCCCGGGTGCTGATGCTGCTATCCCAGGACGGCACTCTGAGAACCCAGGCTTCACCTGACTGATATTGGAGGGCCGGGGAGGTGGGGGAAATTTTAAGAAAGGTGCATAGACATATAGATGTGTTGGGGTTAAAATAAATCCTGTTCAGCAGAATAGTCTAGGCATAAGATGGAGAAAAATTTTGTCAATGAACCTCTTCTGTACTTGCTGTTTGTGACAGGTGTCAAAGACCAAGCAGAATGAGGTTCTTGTCCGAATGTTGCTCAATGCCGGGGTCGATGTGAATGCCAAAGACTGTGTAAGTTTGTGTGTTTAGTCATTTTGAAAGAATATTCCAAATGGTTTTTGCAGGCAATGTCTTTGTCACCTACAAAGTTACTTGCTTTATTTTCCTAGACACTTCTACATTTTCCTTTGCTATCTTTACATTCCATTGTCTTTCTTTCTTTTCGTTTTCACTGCTAGTCAGGCAACCTTGAAGTCGTTTAGACGCTGCCACTAAAGTCAAGGGAATAAAATCTTTACTGGCGAGAGGACATTTTATTTATTTATTTATTTTTTAAGATTTTATTTATTTATTTGAGAGAGAGAGAATGAGAGATAGACAGCACGAGAGGGAAGAGGGTCAGAGGGAGAAGCAGACTCCCTGCCGAGCAGGGAGCCCGACGCGGGACTCGATCCCGGGACTCGAGGACCATGACCTGAGCCGAAGGCAGTTGCCTAACCAACTGAGCCACCCAGGCGCCCAGGACTTTTTTTTTTTTTTTTTTTAAAGAACCGCCCCCCCTAGGCAGTGAGGTATGAGAAATGAAGGCTCTGCCAAGAAACTTCCATCCTCCATAGTTAAGACGCTGGAGGCCGAATGCCTATGTGTCAATCTAGGCCTGTCACTTTTTGTCTGTGTGTGTTGTGGCCAGGCATAAACTTACTGGACTCCCGGTTTTCTCACCTGTAAAGTGAGGATGTTGATAACACCTATCTTGCAAGGCTGACCGTGTAAAGCACTTAGCAGAGTGCCCGGCGCTTAGTAAGCTCAGCAAGTACCAGCCGCTGCAGCCAAGCTCCAAGCCCACCTGTAAGAGAGGCCCCATCTGTAAACTAGATCGGTAAGGATCAAGGTCACAGAGCCCAGGTGGTGCTGAGGGCAGTGACCGCCGAGCGGCAGCCCCTAACTTCTTCCTGTTTCTAAATATCAGGTTTTGTTTTCACCTTTCGCCCCTGCACACCTCTTCCTCGCTTACATGATCCCAAATGGATCAAATGTTTATTTGTGTGAACTTTTATTTGCTTCTATTGCTTGGATGAAATTTTGGCTTCCCAATTCTGTCAGTACCAAAAAAGTAGGCAAGTTGAAATTGCAGTCGAAAAGAACCAATATTTTCTTTGTGGCCCCTAATTCATTTTATGTTTTGTGTATCTGTGTGCGTGCGTGTGTGTTACCGTTTTGTTTTGTGATGGAGAAAATGTGTGCATCGCTGTTTCTATTCATTATTTACATCGTCTTAGTTTTGGTGATATTGGTATTGTATGTTTAGATGGAGGTAGCTCCATGTGCCTGTGTGTGCATGTGTGTATGTGTGTGTGTGTGGGGGGGAGAACACAAGAGAATAAGTTTATGAAATGCATGTTTTTCCTTTTATTTAAAATAGGATTTTTGGATTAATTGGAGTAGATGACTACTGTGCTCCACCATTTCCATAGATAACTTTGAAATGTATTAAGTAAGATGTTATTAAAGATTAGGTAAAAGATTTGTTGAAGATTTTTCTTGATCTTCTCATTTAAATTCAAAAGGTTGAGAACTTTGTGATCAACATTGCTCTAGGATATCTTTCTCGTTCTCAATGTGTCTATAGCTGGATGATTACATTCCTGTGCACACTCGTGTGCACATATATGCACGCAGACACACTTTTCCTGCCATTTTTCTAAAACTGAATATTCAGATCGTTTTTCCACCTTTAAGTGATGTGGTGCATTGTATTTTTAGGGAATTAGACTCTTTATTTCACATGGGAACGTTCAGAGCCAGATCTTCCACTTACCATCTCACCACTTAATAAAAATAAGTAATCGCAACATCATTTGCTATGGTCTCAGAAGGGTTAATAAGGTCTGATATTATTTCGTCCACATACTAAAGCCACAGTTGCTTGGCTGCTTTTTGAAAAACAAAATTGGGGGGCACCAACACCTTAGCTATACATTTCTTATCACTTGGAGTTAGTGTTTTAAATTAGTACCAACAGAGCAGATTCACTATTTTAGAACGCAGAATACAAGCTCCAGCAAACCCGTATGGGAGGCTTCTCCATAGAGCTGCACTGATCCTCTCACTGAGGATAGAACAGTGTGAGCACAAGCCACCTTCTTCAGCTTGTGGGGATTTTAACCAACAACCACAGAGGATGATATTTGCAAAAAGGCCCATGTGGGGCCCCATTAGGAGAAAAGATGGCAAGATGATCAAGGGGGTCATTGCCCAGACATATGGGATCCTACCAAGAATCCCTGAGATAGTTCGGCAGTAGCGTTGTTTAAGTTGGGAACACAAAATGAGAGAGGAAGATCTTAATGGCTTATAGGACATGAATTATATGCACGTTGAGGTAGGAAAGGCATGTTAAGTATGAGAAATGTAGTTGTGCATAGATGGTTTGCAGACTGGTTTGCTTAGTTGTAGGCTGTGAGATGTGACGCGACACCTGCTAGGGTCGGTGGAGCCCGCCGATGAGCCGCAGTGTCTGTCTTCTGTTTCAGGATGGCTGCACGGCCCTCCATTACGCTTGCCAAATGAAAAACCAGACCCTCATTCCTCTGCTGCTGGAAGCTCGTGCCGACCCCATGATCAAGAACAAGGTAAGCATCTGTGGGCCATTGTCCCAAGTCTCTTCCAGCAGTAGCATCTTCTGATTTCGACTTTGTATTGAAGTGAATTAATTGCCTCTGATGTTGTTAACAGCAAAACTAATTGTCCTCATTAAGCAATTAAGTTATCCTATTACTGTGGGAGCCGAATGACATTTAAAGCCCTTACCAAGCCTGTGAGTCAGTCAGTCTGGACTCTTTGATAGACCTTTTGCTTTGATGTTGGACTGTATCGGAGATAAATAACTCTAGTTTCTTTTTCTCCTCAGCGTGGTGAGAGTTCCCTGGATATTGTGCGGAGATTAAAGTTTTCCCAGATTGAATTAATGCTAAGGAAAGCATCATAATCTTTGTGGCCTTGCATGGAGAAGTAGAAAAAGTTAAAGGACTGGATTCTATCTCCTTTTGGGACAATTGGTCTATGGACCGTTGAACCTGGATGCTATGATTTTTTGGTAACCATAATGGTGGTTTCCATAGTTAACATTCTGGAAGAGCTTTGTATTTAGAATTTTCTTTGGAGTTCATCATGGTCACGATCCTTCTCGGAGAAACACTAAAGCTCTTGGAGCCTCCATTTTGGTCCAAAAAAGGGTGACGTTTCAAATTCAGGCTCTTCCGAAGAAGAGGATCGGAGTTACCTGGTTCGGTTTTCTCAGCTGTGTGGCTCTTAACAAGAGGCTGTCCTGTGGATATCATGCCCAGAAGACAACTCTTTCTCTCCGTCCTTTTTGAATAGAAAGAAGAAGATTCAAAGTATCCATATTTGTATAGACTGATATGTTAGGGGGTTGGGAGGTGAGCTTCATATGTAAATATTTACTTGGTGAAACAACGTCAATAAAATCATCCATCAGTCGTCAGGGGAGGGAGTATTTATGCCACAGTAATTAGCAAATGCTACAAGTCAGGGCTTTTTCTTTTTCTTTTTCTTTCCAGAGAGCCAATTTCTTTTTTTTTTTTTAATTTATTTGAGAGAGAGAGAGAGAGAACAGCCAGAGGGAGGGGCAGAGGAAGAGGGAGAAGCAGATGCCCCACTGAGCAAGGAGCCCCATGCGGGACTCAATCCCAGGACCCTGAGATCATGACCTGAGCCGAAGGCAGACACTTAACCTACTGAGCCACCCACGCATCCCTCCAGAGAGCCAATTTAACCAGCAGACCTCTAGACATTTTGCTTTTGACTTTGAACAAAATTATGAAACAATCAAGATGTTTGTTCAAAAATACCTTTCTGATTCTCTTGTGAATGCAAGGTAGCTGCTAAGGTTGTTCATTCTGTTTATATTCACTGGTAAAATTTAAAATAGTATTGTTAATTATTAGACAAAGGATTTCTTTTTTTTATTATGTTATGTTAATCACCATACATCACATCATTAGCTCTTGATGTAGTGTTCCATGATTCATTGTTTGTGCACAACACCCAGTGCTCCACGCAGAACGTGCCCTCTTTAATACCCATCACCAGGCTAACCCGTCCCCCCACCCACCTCCCCTCTAGAACCCTCAGTTTGTTTTTAGAATCCATCTAGACAAAGGATTTCTTTACAAGAAATAGAGCAACAGGACGTGGTGGTATCTGGATTATACTTCTAGAGGAGAGAGAGAATATCAAAATAATATTTCTCAAGTCCTTTGTCAATGAGACAGAATAGAAATAAACACATTTAAAGATGGTTGAATTTTGCAAAGCAAGACTGAGTCAATCATATCTTCAGACATGGACTAAGCCACACTATATGTGGTAACAAATAAACAGTCTAAGAAAGAATGATTTACCGTCCTTGAACAGAATAAGGGTTTAATGAAAATCCAATCCAGGAGTATTTATTGAACTATGTACAGAACCTTACAGTACATGTTTTGTGAGGGAAGTAGTAGAGTGTATATATAGATTCTGAAGCCTTTAAGTGTCTCTTAAATTATTTAAGATACATTTGCATTGAATGAAGTTAGCAGGTGACTCTGGGGGATTGAATAAAGAAGCGAACTTCACGCACCAGTATACCTTCAATCTGGTTTGCAAAATTACACTCTCACTCACGTAACTTATAACTGTCATCTTGGAAACTGTGTGAACTGTGAACATTTTTCTAAAGAAATAAATCCAGATTTGTGGATGAGTTTGGGTACTTGTCAAGATCAAGGGACAGAATACATGACAGTTTGTGTCACTATGCTCATGAATTTCTAAAGCTTTTTTCCCAGTTTTTAATTTTTGAAGGGGGAAAACGGGGCCAGACGTTGGTAGCCTCAGGCAGTAAACTCTCATATGAACTTGGACTTGGCACTAGGTACTGACAGATAGACGTGCTCCATGCAGGGCATAACGTACTTACTGGAAAAGTGACTAAATATCTTACCAAATTATTTCCTCTGAGACTCAACTATAAAACTTGGCCCTTTTTAATGATGCTTAAAATGTATTTCGTCCATACTGTTCTCTTTCCATCTCTCTCTCTCTCTCTTTCTTTCCTAAAACAGCTCAGCTTCCTGAGGTAGCGTGATGTCTCTATGGCAATAAGGTGAAAATGTCTAGCTTATTTTGTCGTAGTTACAACAAATCCAGAGATTCAAGACCTCTGTCGCTGTCCCCATCCATCATTTTACTTGACTGTTCCAAAAATATGGCTTCTAGAAAAAAAGTTAACATTGTAAAGGGGTCTACCTGAATGATATAAAGAGTCCTGGTTAATTTCCGGCTGTCAGGCAAAACCTGCCCTTCAGGATGGCAGAATATATAACACAGGAAACCTATGTTCACCCAATGAGTATTTTAATGAGCTAAAAAAAATTTAAATGTCCGTTTTAGTGTCAAATACAGGAACTCTGAAGGAATGCGTATTATATCTCTGCCCTCCCTTCCCCACCCCCTTCTACTGATAGGAGAGGTTTCCAGTTTCTGGAAATCCTGAAAAATCCTAAGACTCATCAGTATCGGATGCTTCACAGCCTGATCTCGCACTTTCCCTGGGAGAAGCTGGTCTCCTCCTGCTTCATCAGATGTATGATCTCATTGTACATACGGTGAGGAGCATCCAAGCCCCAGATGAAATCCACATGTGCCCACTCAGGAATGTTCTTATGGTAGATGAGATTGGTCACCTCGGAGAGCAGCGTCTTCACGTCCTCTGGATTTGAAAGCCAGTCCTGACCCCCAGTCCACACTGCGGTGGGGACCATCATATCTCTGACCTTGTACCTTACGGGAGTTGGCTAGAAAAAAGGAATCATTTTTAACTGTCAGTAACATTTGGATTTCCAAACTCACGGTTTATATTTCAAGTCAACAGAGTCAAAATATGTCATGTGTTGTGAAGAAAAGTGCACGGGCACCGCAGCCAAACAGGACCCCATCCAGAGTTGTCTCTTCAGCCCCTACTTGAAGGTACAGTCGGTTAGCCTCAGTTTCTTCATCTGGGAAATGGGGATGACGCTTGTACCAACTTACGAGGCCAAGTGACCAACCATGTAAGTGGCTTTCCACCTTGAGCATAAATTTTCAATTCTTTTTCTCCCTATTAATAAACATTTAAAACATACGTTGCCTTTGGAAGAGAATGTTCCTGTCCTTTTCAAGGCTGATTTCACAAATTTCATGAGGCCAGAGGGAGAGAGATTCTCGAGGGAAAGGCGAGAGATTGGAGTCCCCTGAGAAAGGTAGGGGGTCTTCCCAGAGACTTTCTGGGAGAACAGAAAGGCCTTGAGGCAGTCCAAGCTCAAAACCTGGGGAAGCCAGAGGCCCTAGAACTCGGGTCATTTGAGCGGGGGGGTGGGGGTGGGGTGGGGTGGGGTAACAATTAGACCCCTGTTCCAGTCCCCCATCACCCGAAGAAAGGCATCTAGGATTCCGAACTGACGATCTCCCTTATTCAAGCAGTGCTTCTAGATCAGACTGGCTGGCTGAGCCCTGAGGTTAATCAAGCACCTAGAACTCTCCACAGTAATGCTGAGCCCCGATTCTTCTCAGAAAATCCACCGTGGAGCCAAGGCTTCAACCCAGGAGTCTTGGTTGACTCTGTGGCTTTCTAAGAATTTAGAGTTCAAGCCTGAGACTGTGATTTACAATAAGGAGAAATGGGTCTTCATCCCCATTTCTGGCACAGACCTCCTCTTTACCCTTGGAACTTACTCAGTGACAAGAGCCAATAAAGTGTCTTTTGTTAAGTTAAAGAGGTGACTTTTGGACTTGACTGAAGGATGGGGTCTGGTCGCCAGTGGAGCCAAGCCTGTGGTTAGAGGGTTGGAACTTTAAGTGCTGCCCCCGACCTCCAGGGAGGTGAGGGGGCTGGAGATTGAGTTCAGTCGCCGATGGCCAACAATTGAATCAATCATGCCTATGTGATGAAGCCCATAAAAACCCTAAACAAGGTTGGGGAGCTTCCAGGCTGGTGAACACGTGGAGATTTGGGGAAAGCGGCTGGCTAGGAGAGGGCTGGAAGCTCCTTGACCTTCACCCATACACTTCCCTCTGCATCTCTTCCTTCTGGCTGTTCCTGAGTTACAGTCTTTTGTAATAATGGATGATCTAGTAAGTAAAATGTCTCTCTGAGTTCTGTGAGCCAATCTGGCAAATTAATAGAACCCAAGGAGAGGGCTGTTAGAATCTTTGAGTAGAGCCAGTGGGTCCAGAAGCATAGGAAGTACCTGGGCTTGAGATTGGCATATGAACTGGAGGGCAGTCTTCGCGAACCAAGCCCTTACTCTGATGCTATCTCCAGATAGTGTCAGAATCGAGTTAGATCGTAGGACACCCGGCTGGGGTCTGGAGACCTGCCTGTTGGTGGTGGGGAATCTCCCTGTGCCCACACACACGTAGGAAGTTGGTGATCAGAGTCACCTTTCATGGTCTAACTTAGATAGGAAAGGTTGGAATATTCTACGGCGCCAGTCATGTATTTTTCTCATTTTACAGGTGAACTGAATTCAGGTCTAACTCTAAGGAGCTGTGATTCTAGAATGCCTTTTTGGCCTGCGTGTTTTCTTTTTCTTTCCTGCGGCCTACGTTGCCTGAGCTGCTTTCTCTAGAATTTAAAACATTAATGCTGATAAATTAAAACCATCTTGGAGCTGGAATGTTTTCTCCAAAGACATGTATTAGGAAACATTGAAGAAGGACCTAATAAAAAGTAGGTGATGCCCGTGACCTAGAGTTTGTTGGTCAGGGCACTCCCCAGTCTGTCCGACTTCCTAGGCTTTTATATCTAGACTGATGTACTGGAGTGGATGTTACATATGATCCAAGACTCTCAGGGGTTGGCCTCTGTTTGTCGGGCTCCCTCTGGCTTTATGTTTGTATGGTCAGTATTTGTTTGTATTCATATACAAGCTAACCAATAATCTTCAGTGGGGATTTTATGCTCAGAAGAGTTTAGCACCCACTTCTGACTCTCCACAACTGTTCATTTTATTCTAGGGCAGCGGCTGTGCATTTTCTTAGATAATGTAATACCTTTTCACATTTTTCCCTTGCAAATGACAGATGCATTAAAAGTGTGACCAGCAGAACTCTTAAGGATTATCTAGTCTAATAATAATAATTATTATTATTATTTTAAATAGGCTCCACACCCAGCTTGGAGCCCAATGCTGGGCTTGAACTCATGACCCTGAGATCAAGACCTGAGCTGAGATCAAGAGTCAGACGCTTAACCGACTGAACCACCCAGGCGCCCCAGTCCAGTAATTTTTAAAGATAAAGACATTGGGGTCTGCAGAATGAAAGCAGCCTATCCATGACCCCACAGGTGGTAGGACCGAGGCAGGCACAAGCAACCCTCACTTGCCACTAAAGGCCCTCTTATGTGCTGTGAAGCAAACTAGTCCCTGCCATCTTCATCCCTGGTTTTGTTTTTTATTTTTATCTTTTGACCCTAAGAGGATCCTTCTAGTGACCACCAGAGTCTACACTCTTCCCTTCACCATATCTACCCCATCTTGCTCCTTAGAAGCCCAAGTGCCTTGTTCATGGCGGCCGACTCATCAGGAAAGTTCTCCTACTCCGTTATGAAAGCAGGAAGCGTCTTGGCGAAGCTGTGAACTTCTCTCTCTTCAAATGGAGTCAAGCCCGAACTCAGATTTGATTCCTGCCTCTACAAAAAAAACTGTCATTATAACTTCCCTCCCATTTATTTAAAAAGGATGTGTTTGATTTTCTTACCTGATTGCCTTTCTCCAGATTTTTGGTCTCATTCCCCCAGTCAAATGCCCGGAATTCCCCAGAATTCATTGCCTAAAAAGAAACAAATTGACATGGCTTTCAAATGCATCCCTGGATAAGGGTGGGGTGAGCAGGTGCTCCCAAGTCTGCAGTCGTAAGCCAATTGGAGGGCAAAAGCCAATTGGAGGGCAAAAATCCACTCGGTGTTAGGATAATCTTCGAGAGAGCATAAGGGCAAGAGTAAGGCCCCTTCGGGGAGGAAAATGCCCTGGAGACACACTTGCCACCTTGTCCTACAACTCCAGGAAGTGCATCCCCGACGTAGTCTGTGCGTAGGTGGCTGTCTCCGCAGGCTGCCGCGGGAGAGCGCCCCCTAGCGCCGTGCCGTGTGGTGATTCAGGGAGAAGGTGACCAAAATTTCACCTCATTCAGAATTCTTCTTTCCTTTTGGCTGTAAAGTCTCGCTCCCCATACACACGCACACACACTCACACACACACAAATAGAGCCATGACCTTAGAGGAACAATTTAGGCTCTAAATCCTTAGAGAAACAGATAGAACCGATATTTATGATTTGTAAAGGTCACCCTCAGTATGCTTAAAACTTTTTGTTTGAATTAGGAGCCCTCCATTTTTTTCTCAACGAGGCTGTGGTTGTAGCAGTTGAGAATCTACGGTTAACTATGATCTAGCTCTCTGTCTTTATCTCCATCCTTATTTCCACAGCAAATCAACCACTCTTCCGTATCATCTATAATGAGCAATATTAGGTGCAGTCTCTCTTTATAGGTGAGGCAATAATTAGCATCCACACTGTCCTTGAATGAGTTCTGGATGATCCGAGATCTGCCCCACTGCCCCTAGAGACAGTTCCTGTGACTGGTGATCGGGACAGTCCCTTCTGTGATTGCAGGTGAAATCTGCGGCACAAAGGACTCCTGTGAATTAGGTCCTGCCTTCTTCGCATTTTTATTACCACTTGACCATTGTGCTGGAGGAGCCGAAAAGGAGAATGGAAACATGATCTCCAGCCTCATCTGAAGTCACACTCTTAAGGCCCACTAAAGATTCCTTAGGCCAACGCTCCCCCCACCACCATCTCCTGAAAAGATTCAGTGTTCTGGATCAAATTCACGGTCAAAACAGCATTGCCAAGATCATTGTCCATCTTGGAATAAATGTGAAATAACACCTGGGCTGTCAAAAGGACATCCTTTGACTGCTCCAGACAAAATACACAGAGACCCTTGGCAAAGACAACAGAGTTAGCATACCTACCTGGCTCCAGTGTAGGATATTTTGCACGGACGTCCCGCCCAGAATGTGAGCGACATACACATTTGCTCGGCTCTGTAACAAAACACGAGTGGTTTGTGGGGCATGGAAAACTCACAAGACATGCATCTTGTCAAGACCACATCTCCAGGGTGTCAGATTGAGAAATGGGAATATCATCAAGTTATCAGCAATTATTCACACATCAGTAATATACACACACACAATAAATAAAAAATGCCACTAAGTGTATCCCCGGGCACCTGTATTTTTTCATCTGAGAAGAGCTTCCCTTTAGACATCTGACTTCTTCTTTTAAAAAACTTTACCAGAATAATTAAGGATGAGGGCTCTAGAATTGGGTCTGTATTCAAATCCTACCTCTGCCATTCAATTTTTAGGTCGATTTGGGAGTTATTGAAAGCCTTAAATCTCAGGACAGTAGTCTGTAAAAGGAGGCTATTGATCATACCTGTCTTATAGGATTGTTACAGGGAATCACTTAGCCGGGTACATAATAAGTGTGTATCAAATGGTAGCGATTAATCATTTTGTTAAGAAAAAAGGAAAAAAATCTTCAGAAGTGAAAGATATATTCCTCCAGCTTCTGGAGGTGCTGCTGGCAGACAGCACCCCACTGTCAGGCTTCCTTGGGGGGGCCACCCCAGGTGCAGAAAGCTGCCCTGCCCAGCGTCTCCCCTGGCGACATCTGTAACAGATGACAGGTTGAGCTGTGAGTATAAAGACCAACCCTCTCTCTGTAACTTAGGACAGCTTAGAAGGGTATCCCCATCTTCACATCAACTGAGATTCCCACAGAGATTGCATCACGGCTTGATGTTTTCAATCTACCAAATCCTGCTTCCTTCCCTTCCCTGGTGTCATCCTAAGGGTATTACCCCAAATCGTTGTGCACACCCTTCTCCGCCTCCCGGTCTATGACGTCAGTGTCCAGAGATGCCCTTATGTCAACCTTGACTCAGACTGTGTTGAAGTATTTTCTGCATGTTAGTATGATTTGAAGAAAACGGAATAAGTCTCCCCTGGCATTAGCTCCATCTCAGGAGGTGAGACTCACTCCTCGCTTTGCTTTGGAAAACTAAGAATTGACTAGGCTCCCACTTACCATGTTCATATTGTTTGTATTAAATCCTCCCATAAGAAACAAGAAGTTGCTACAAATCTGATCCATAATCATCTGACCACACAGGTAAATAGCAAACTGTCTGAAGAATCTGGTCTGGTACAGAAATTCTTTTCTGCCAAACAGTCCCTGTAAAAATATGACATGGAATTGTAGTCATTACATCAGAGTCGAAAAGAAGTGAGTCTAATTTAAAGGCATACAGATCTTCCAAAACTTATAACGGAGCCCATCATAAGTTGAAAATATTGTAAATCAAAACCTGGGAGCTCTGGCGGCTGCCCAGCATCGCAAGAGAGGTTTGTCTCAAATATCACTAGGCCAGGAAAAGATCAACATTTAAAATTCAGAGTGTGGTTTCTACTGATTGCGTATCGCCTGTGCACCATCACAAAGTCGAAAGATCGTGAAATTGAGCTATTGTATGTCGGGGCTGTCTGTATGTCTTAGCAAATTGGGTTGGAGGACTCGTCTACGCAGATAAGGAATTATCTGAGGAGCCACATACCTTGATCATCATATCCGGCAGCAACAAAAATTTGGTACCAGGGCTTGTTGCATGTTTAATAGTGGCTATGGGCGCTAAAGCAAAATACATTTTGATTTTCTGAGCCAGTTCTGGCATGGTGGAAAAAGCAACAAAGCCTACAAGAGAAGAGATAGGTCAGTGTGGATATTGCCTATCCCAGAACCCAAAGCTGTGATTGCACTTTTATCAGGTTATTTCAGTAACTATGTGTAATTGGGTCTTAACTGTCCTAGGAAAGTATAAGCTCCTTGAAGAGGAAAACACCAGTAGCCAACACACCTCGGTGTTCCCTACGACACCTGGCATATCTTTTCCAGCTAGTAGTTTCTCATTGCATTATTGAATTAAACTATTGAGTCCAATAGTATGGACTTTGAGAAAATATATATACAGAGAATAACTATGTGCCAGACACTTTTCAGGGCACTTTTGTGGTTCTTATCTCATTGAATTCGCAGACTCTTGTGAGGTGTTTTTAACAGATCTCTACTTTACAGTGAACGGAACTTAGAACTAGAGAAATTGCCCTGTTGATCAGTAACAAGCAGGTTCTGTAATAAAATGAGTGTTGGGATAGCAGGGTTTCTGCTGGTCTCATTGATTCCTACCTTTCCTGGAACCCAAACTGTAACATGATCTCAAAAACAAGTTGTCTACTGAACTGGATCCTAACTGTTATTTTTGTCATAGATCAGGTCTGGGGCCCTGGCTAAATCAGTCTGTGCCCCAGTTTCTAAGCCTATGAAAGTCTCTGAATTATCACCAGGTAGGGACCATCCCTGTGGAGACTTGGCGAGAAAAAAGGTTATCATTTAAAGCCAGGGCGTGGTCACTGTATTTGAAATACTCTGCATCTGTGCACTCCCTAGCTAGGCCGGTATCTGCAACTTGAGTGGGAGGCGAGTGGGGCAGAGGAAGACTGGTATCACGTGACTCCCTCCCCTGCCGCGCCCCCCCTCCCCCCGGTTCCTGGGGGTGAGTGAGTATTCATGAAGAATGCATCCTTATCAACTTTTCCCTCCACATGATTAAGCTAGCTAGCCCCATGCAAAGGCAGGCCCAAGAGTGACTTGTTCCTCTTGCTCTCCCAGGTGTACCATCAGTAGGATTGGGTGGGAACTCCATTAAACTCTATTCCAGCTGGATTGTGACCCTATTAGAACTCCTCTCAAATGTCAAGTTTGAGAATCCTCGCTAACTTCTCCCGGCGATTCTTTCTCTTTATGCAAAGTTAGTACAGGTTCTCCATCTAAAGAGCTTCATGGTTGACAACTAGAAGAACCCCATGCTTTTTTGCCCCCTTTTTCTTCTTGAAATAGCATTTGGCCTCATCATCAGCACCTTTATCTTAATGTCAAGCTGGACAATTTGAGCGTAGAGCCAAGAAACTCTCAGAGGCCTCTAGCCATTAGAGCAAGCGTGGGGATTAACACCCCAGCTTGCTCTCTGTCAAGTGTGTGGTGAGACGTGGCATCCCCAGAGCCAGTTAATGTTGTTGGAAAATCCAGAGAGGAAAATATGAAAGTCAGACTCTTTTCATTCGCCAGAAAGCACCAGATAAAAATAAACCCACTGAACTCCTGCCCTGAGTTCCAGGGGGGTGTGCTCACCTGTCTCCTCAGCATCCTCTACCCTGGCCTTCCCCTATGGGTTCGGCTCAGGGTGAAGGTAAAGAGTGCTCTCAGCCTTCCCAGGGAGAACCTTCTCCCCATGACACACACTGTGCCCTTCCTTGTCCTGGTCTAAGCCAAACACTTTTCCTACTGCCTTTGGTCTGAGAGAGAGCCAGAGGACACAGCCTCCACTCCCGTCTCCCCAGTGATGACCTGTATCCTACAGGGGCTGTGAGTTAAGGTTTCCCACAAATTCACCAAAAGCAAAAGGACAACAGCACGAAATTCCAGACATTGGCCGTAGAAGGGAAGGAACAAGACCTGAATGAAATCCGCCAGCCGTCCTGTCTGTAATGTGACCACCATGCTTACTGCTTATGGAATTGAGTGCGCACTTTGTGCCAGAAACTTCTCTTAGACTTGTGTCTTAGACGAAACCCCTGCCTTCACAGAGCTGATCCACATTGTCCCTGAGTAGTTCGAACACCTCTAACTCCCCTATGAGGGAGTTACTATCTTCATTTTGTAGATGAGGGAACTGAGATGACAGGGGTTGGACAATTCACTCAAGGACATTCACCCAAGAGGTGGTAGAGCCACATATGATCTAATCCCACATCTGTCTGCCTCCAGAGCCCTTGCTCCTTCTGCTCCTTTCGTCCCCGACTTCCGTAGCCCTCAGAGTCACTGAAGAGGTCAGGGCCAGAGCTGAGAGAAGGTCGGGTGCCAGACCCCAGGCACCGCCGAGCACCATATGCCCACATCCCTGACTCTACAAACCCGCCCCCATCGAACTTACCCATGGTGGTGCCCTGTGAATAGCCGACATAGTAGATCTTTTCCTGGCCGGTTTTGTGCAAAATAAAGTTTATGACTGCAGGAAGGTCAAACCTAGCCATCTCATCATAACTATAAGCGGGGGGGGAAAGACAAAGTTACATGAAAAATTAGAATCAGAAACAGTGAAAGCAGCCCCTGGGGTTTGCAAACAAGCTCCTGAGTCGTCAGTCCCACCAGCTTGTGAGCGTGCCCCTCGAGACCCTCAGGATGGACTTGTTTCCCACCCGTGACACATGGGGGCCCCTGGGCTCACAGACTATTTGCACTATTTGTACCCCGCTGTTTCTCCAGATAGTATCACAGAGTGATAATCATCTTCAAGGAATATTTACTGAGCACATGATCTACTGCCTGGTGAAGGTGTCCTGCTATATAGTTAGCAAAGCAGCACCTGGCTATACAGATTCATTTGTACAGAAAGGATTATAAATGCCGCAGGGGCCCTTGTCCGATGACATGGATGAAGAGCAGGTTGAATGCCAATAGGTAATTTACATAAAACCATTAAAAACCTTTTGTAAGACCGTGAGATATGTATTAGCCAAACTGATGGTCCCTAAGGCTTAATAGTTTCCCCAATATCTCTAATGTTGCCTGATCTCATCTCTTTCTGGGGGTGCCTGTTCTTGTCATTACTCGGGGGGGCAGTTAGCCCCAGGGTACACATCTGCAAGGACGTGGACCTACACCTTCTCTCAACCACCTGACACAAACCACCATCTCACCCTATTAGCCAGACCCATTCTCCTATTAGGGAAACCCAGTCCCTCCCTCTGCTTCCCCAACTTAAAACAATTGGGTCTATCTTGGTAGGATATTGATGACCCAACCAAAGTAAATCATCCAAATGCTAGGAGCCACATTCTTTACCGGGTTCTCCCAAAGACATCTGTGTCTGCCTCCACTCAGTATACCTGAAAGCCCAGAACTCATCTTGGTCTACGGAGAGGGTCTTGTGTTTACGAGACCAGGTGTTCCCCCTGCTATTCCCCAGCCACACGTCAAAACCGGCGTCTGCCAGAATGAAGCCCAGGCTGCTGTTGGGCAGGTTGAAGATCCAGTGGCTGGCGTCCCCATTCAGGCCATGCTGCAGTAATACCACTGGCCTCGGACCTACGTGCAAGAGAATTTCAGCCATGAGACATGTTCTCCACCTTTCTTGTTACCCTCTAGTGTGCAAGCGCTTTCAAGCTCAACAGACCCGTGTTCAAATTTTGATTTAGCTGCTTGTTAGATCGATTATATTAGTAGGTCACTTAACCTGTCTGTGTCTTGATTTCCTCATCAGAAAAACAGGGTTTTTGTTACGACTAAATAATATAGTGCACAGGGAACAGACAGCAACAATGCCTGGCATAGAGAAAGAATCAGTAGAGTTTGGCTTCCATTGTTGTCTTCCTGTAGTTCTTACTCTCACTTGGTGTGTCTGGGCACCACTGAGGATATTGGAAATGCCCAGGACATAGTATAGTCTAATTATTAAGGTAATTATGTGATTATAAATATAATTAAATATTACGTAATTATAAATGTATAGATAATGAACGTATATATATATATATATATATATATATATATACCATAATGTATAATCGTTTAATGATTACAGGCCCTTCATGTCAAAAAGATTCACAAGCCAGCTTGAAGGAGCTCCCACTGCCCAAATATGGGAAAATTTGAGACTCAAAATAAGTAATGATAGCTATAAATCGTATCCCAGTGAATAAATTAAGGATGAGTGAGTCTAGGGGCGCCTGGGTGGCTCAGTTGGTTAAGTGTCTGACTCTTGATTTCAGCTCAGGTCGTGATCTCAGGTCAGGGTCTCAGGGACCCATGATTGCTCGTGACCCTGAGATCATGACCTGAGCCAAAATCAAGAGTCAGACGCTTAACCAACTGAGCCGTCCAGGTGCCCCACATTGTACACTTTAAATATATACTATTTTATTTGCTGAGATGAAAAGAATTTTTTTTAAATAAAGTGAATATCACCAATACTGGAATAAGCCATTATCATGTGCTTCATGATGTGACATGCTGAGGACACAACTTCACTTCTGCCGTATTCGGGCCAAAATGTATAACCTGAATCACATCATGGAGAAGCATCAGACAAACAAAATTGAAGAGCGTTCTATAAAATAACTGCCCCCAAACTCTTTAAAAATGTAGAGGTCGAAAGAGGCAAAACTTGAGAAATTGTTTCAGTTCATAAAGGAGACAAAAAGTCATGAAGACTAAATGTGGCATATGACCGTGGATGAGACTACCGACCAGGAAGAAAAGCAAACACAAAGGACTTGTATAACCGAAAACATTTGAATATGGGCTGTGCAGTAGATACTAATATCAATCAATGTTAATTTCTACTCTTGCTAAATGTGTTGTGATGATAGAAGAGAACATCCTTCTTTATAGTGAAGGGGATCAGGATACGACCCAACTTACTGGGTCCTTGCAGAGGCAGCAGGAGCTGGCCACTAGAGGGGAGTATTCTGCACCAACTGGACCAAAAGGGCAGATGGATGGATACCCTGAACTCCCAAACTCTGGGCTGATAAGTGAACGGTGTAAGTGAACAGGATGTGAGAATGGAAACTCCATCCATGAATAGGGGTGCAGGTGACCTGTGAGCTCAGGCACCACCACAGTCACTCGATGGCTTGGGAGAGCTGTGCCTTGCTTACCTCCTAGGATTTGTGGGGCTCACTGAAGAGTTCTCTCTGCGTCTCCAGGCTCTCTGTTTATGTGTATAAAATTCATTCATTCATTCGTTCATTTGTTCATTCATTTGTTCATTCCGCACGTATTTATTAGCACCTAGAATGTGCGTGGCGTTTTTTTAGGCACTGGCTGTATAGCCTTCAACAAAATAAAGTCCCAGCTCCCAGTGAGTTTACATTCCGGTTGGGGGAGACAGATAATAAACTAGCAAATTATATTACCTATCCTACCAGGTGGTAAGTGCTGTAGGGAATGTAAGCAGGATAAGGGGCCAGACTCTACTAGGTGACAAGGAGCTGCTTCAAACGCACTGAGGTTGGAGCATGCTGGACATACAGAAGGGACAGCTATGCAGCTGGTAAAAAAAAAAAAAAAAAAAAAAGCTGGTCTTCAAAAAGCTGCACACGTGTAAATTGGAATAAAATAGAACCCTGAAGTTTGCTTATGCCAAAGATGATAGCATTTGCCCAGCAGTCTCTGGTCCTAGTTGAGAACATGGGCTACAGTGGCAGACAGGTCTTGATTTGACTGCGGGTTTTGCAATATTCTGGCAAGTGCTAGCATAGACCTTCTGGACAAGTTACTTAACCTCTGTGAGTGGCAGTTTCTTCAGATTATTGTGGAAGTTAAGAGAAACTAATGCAAATAAAGCACAAGCTATCAGAGCTGGCTTTTAGAAAGAACACAGTATAAAATTTTATTATCTGTACTCATGACAAATACTGTAGTTGCTGCTATAAATGTAGAGCTAGAGTATTCAAAGGAATACAGAACACTTTCATTGGTAATGAATGTGAATATTTTTTAAAAACCAGCAATAGCTGAAAATCCCATATACAAAAAATGGGATTGTATGAATTGAAGAAATGTATCAGAAAATTAAAAATGTACATCTATTTCCTGATTCTTAAAAAAACTTCAGTGAAAAGCTGAGCAACATCTCAAATACTTAAAGTGCTATATGGACGGGGAATACAGAGTACGCAGGGGTAGGCGCCAGGTGCCATACTGGAGTTTGCCTTCTTCATGAGCAGGGGTTGATATGGTCTGTTCAAGAGACCATCAGTGGATATTCTAGAATATCTATCTAAGAGGGGTTTGGGGAATGGGTTAAGTGCTAGAAAGGGTCAAGAAATGGGCCTTTCTTGAAGGTCTTTTTTTGTTTTAAAGCAAACGCGATGTTTCTTTGAGATCATTCCGGATATTTGGGGTAAATGGGGTGGTGTTGATGGGGAGGAAGGGGGAGTGAAGCTATTTTTGGCTCAAACAATGGGCCCCAGTCTATAACAAGAACCCAGACTCCCCTCTACACACTCAAACCACAAGGAAATCATTACTATAGAGAAGGCTGCCATGTTGGGGTGGCATGGGGGTGAACCATACCTGTTTTCTTAAGTTGCGCTGGGCCTTGAGGAATTCTGTTAACTGAAAGGATGTACCCATCTTCTGTCACAACCTCATACTCTTCACAAGGGTAGCCTTGATGTCGGATGATTTCGCTCTAAGGAAAAGGCAGTGTCTTTTGAGTTCAGTTCCGTATGGCTATACTCTCAATGATCCAAAAGTAACAGGTAGATTCCTTGACTCTGGAAGTTATAGAAAGGGGTCCCACGTTTTCCCTAGTTACTCATGTTATCTTAGAAAAACTAGCTAGCCCTCTCTAGTACTCATTTTCTTTGCCTTTAATGTGGAGACTGGACTAGAACAATGGTTCTCAAAGTGTGGGCCCTGGACCAAAAGGTTCAGCATCACTTGGGCCCTTGCTAGAGATACAAATGATCAGTTTCCACCCAAACTGATTGAATTGGGAACTCTGAGGATGGGGCCCAGCAATCTGTGTTTTAATAAGCTCCTTTGGAAATTCTGATTCACTGTATTGTTTAAGGACCACTAGACCGGAAGACTGATTCCAAAGCCTGGGTGCATGCCAGAATTATCTGGGGGCACTTAAACCTACAGATTCCTGGGCTCACTTCAGGTTAGGGGCCAGGTAATTGTAATGCACCCAATGAGGCATTCTTCCTAGGACAGCTTATGAGAACCTTCAGACCACGCGTTCCCTACGATTCTCTTCATCTCTGAGAATCACAGATTCAAGAGCAGTAGCTCTTAACATGTTTAGGTCAGGGATCCCTCAGGGAATTTGAGGAGAACCTTAAAAATGAACATGCACATGGACACACAGACACATTTTTTATATTTACTCTCAGGGGTTCCTGATTCCTGCTTGCCTATTTATGGATCCCTGTTTAAGGACCTCTACTCTATACAGTCATTACATGTGGAAACTCTTTGTAAAATATGAAGCTTCGGAAATCTCTTCAGTAGCCTCCCTATTTCCACCCACCCTCATCACCCTGAGGAGGGAATCATTTCTCTCAGCTTTAACAGGACCGAGAGAGGAGAAAGCCAGGGGTGAAATGCCCAGTGTAGAGCAAGGGAAAAGGGGCATAGTAGTTAAGAGAAAGGCCCCGAGGTCTCCCTGCCTGCGTTTTAATCCTGGTTCTAACACAAACTAGCTATGTGATCTTGGGAAAATAGTTAACCTGTCCCTGTTCCTCAACTCACTCATCTGCAAGTCACGTGTAGCAATGGTCTTTACTCCATGGGGTTCTGGCAAGGAATGTGAAGACACAATGCACATATATAATACTCACTCGGTTACCTGGAATGTAGTAGGCATTCGGTGAGCATCAGTGACTACTAGAATTAAAAATCACCCCCAACTTCTCAAGTAACTCTTATTTATTTGCAGACTTCAGCTTAAGAGATCTTTTTCCAGAAAAACTTCCCTGAATTCCCTGGATTGTGTCCCCCTTGTCTACATTTTCTTCCTCGATTTCACTGCTTTCGTAATTAGTAACTGAGGGTCTATTTTCCCTGCTGGACCCTAAGTTCCATGAACTGGGGTCTTTTGGTATTCGTAGATCTCTCTGGAATCTCACTGACTAGTGCAGTATCAAGGGCCTGTTAGGTGTTCAATTAACACTAGCTAGAAAGAAACAAGCAAGAAGCCAGTGGTATCCCAAAATATAGGATAGATTATATCCATATAAATCCATCTACAGAATCAAACCCATCCAGGCTCTGAACCACTCGTGTTCTACCTCATCGAATGTATCCCAGTAATTATATGGATTTCCTATTTTACTTTGCTTCTCCAGGCATAAACACTCAATGGCAGAGTCCAATTTAATGGGTTTTGGTATTAGGGTTCCTGAAGACCCAACAGCGCCGAGTGCTGGACACACCCAGTGGGTGAGGTTCAGGGAGACCGGTTCTGCCTATAGCCGAAGACATCGCCTCCATGCAATAACTCAGAGGAATGTGTGTGGGATCTTCCCAGGGCCGGTGAGCTGGCAGGAGCCTCTCCTCACCTGGGAGGGTTGATTGCACGTTGGTTACAATTATGAGCTTTGTGTCCAGGCAGGCCCGGATCTAAATTGCAGCTCTGCTCTCTGAAGTGGCATGGCCTAACTTAAGTTGCCAATAGCCCCTTATTCTCAGGTCCTTGATTTGAAAAATGGGGCTGATCCCATCCACTGAGCCATACCTTGACAACTTTCGATCACCGTGTCTGCCAAGTGGTAAGTATAACTACGTGGTGGGCATTCCTAAACTCAACCCAGAACCTGAAAGTAAGCCCAGCACTGGGATACCTAGAAAGATGCCACATCATTCATGAGCCTTACGTACATGAGGCCCTCTAGATTTTACCAAGGCCAGTCAACTGAGGTCCCAGTCTAAAAGAGGGTATGGAGAACAGAAGCTACTAGAAGCCGGCGTCCTGACAGTAGGAAGGGAGGACTGAGCAAGTCAAAAAGGAATAAAAATCATAGCTAAAGTGGAATTGCCAAGGGTCTGGGTGTGGCTCAAGATGCCACGATGATGTCTCTGCTCGTAGAACGAACCGAAGAATCCAAGGAAAAGTTACCTTGTGCTTGGGGCAAAGGGATTAAGTCATTCACCTGAGTTTACTGAATCTGTTCAAGGAGGACAAAGGTTGACACAGACCGAGGTTAGCATTCTTCCCAGTACAACATGCTTATTTATAACTATGCTCTGCTAGCAAAAATCACCACCACATAGAAATATAATATATAATGCAGATAATGCACAGATGCACAAGTTAGCATGTGAACCACTTCATTTCCCCCCAAACACAGAAAAATCCCAACTTACAATATTCATGAATGCTTCCGGATCCGCAGCTTTAGTTGGCATACATCCTGAATTCACATTTCTTTGGAACAAATACGCCACCAGAATCAAAAGCCACATCTCCGTTCTGTGTGAGACAATCCACACTCTTGACAAGATTTTTGGCAAGATCCAACATCAGCATTTATTTTATTTTTTTTTCCTGGCAGTATCACCACTAATCCTAATGTCAGAAGGATCTACAGCTTTAAAAACTGTTTCCTATATGTTCCGTCCAGGATTCCTCCCCTAAACTCAGAAACAAATTCAACAATCTTGGTTGACAGGAAGGAAAGAGCTCGAAGCAGAATGGAAACGTGGCCCAGGATGTCCCAATGTCACCAGGCCCCTTCCAGTGCTCCCAGAACTCACAGTCACCAACCCTCAACTTCTAGCTGTGTAGAACTTTCTTTGATGCCATCTGGAGTTATGTGCATATGATACAGCCCATAAAACCCCTGTTCTTCATCATCAGGAAATAGGAACCACAGGGATGATCTTTTTTCTTTTTTTCCTAGTTTTTGTCTTTCTTTGGAGGGTGGAAAGATACCGAGTCTGGAGAAAATAAGCTTCTATAGCCACATGCCAAGGCTTCAATGATCAGTCCTTTTTTTTTTTTTTAAGATTGTATTTATTTATTTTTTATGATTTTTAAAAAACTTAAAAAAAATTTTTTTTATTATGTTAATCACCATACATCACATCATTAGTTCTTGATGTAGTGTTCCATGATTCATTGTTTGTGCATAACACCCAGTGCCCCACGCAGAACGTGTCCTCCTTAATACCCATCACCAGGCTAACCCATCCCCCGCCCCCCCAGAACCCTCAGTGTGTTTTTCAGAGTCCATCGTCTCTCATGGTTCACTTCCCCCTCTGATTTCCCCCCTTCTTTCTTCCCCTCCTGCTATCTTCTTCTTCTTCTTTTTTTTTAACATATATTGCATTATTTG